GGGAGGAGGAGGGGAGGGGGGAGGAGGGGGGCGTACTCCATGTGGGGGAGGGAGGAGTGACAATGGCTATGGCTGAAGTGGTGAGGGAGGGGGGGGGGGGGGGGGGGGGGGTTGGCGACCGTTGTCTAATCATGCGAACGGATTGCTTTGTTGTTGGCAAATGGGTGGTCTGTGGTGGGCTCTTCGGCCAGCTGTTCAGCACTCTCGGTTGCGGGCCGAGCGGTCACTCCGATGGCTCACCGGCTTGGAGATTTCCTCGCCGTTACTGTGCTGGCCATCTTTGTCAGCACATCGTGCCAATCGGCACGGGACTCACGTGTGGATAAGAGCGCCCATCAATAGCTCGCATACACACGAGATCAAGGTTAGAATTGGGCGTCCAGAGGGCGCCCGTCGTCGTCGTCGCGCATCGTCATCAGAAAGGGTGGGCGGGCGGCAATCATGTGTTAATCGATGGTATTCATAGGGTCAATCATTGGTATTCATGGGTAGTCATGGGTGGTCATGGGTTAGCATTTTGTGGTCCAAACGGGTTAGTTGTCGACTGATGGTTGGCTCAACGAGACCATGTTCATCAACTACCCCCATCATGCTCCAATGTAGCTGCAACAAGCAGCTCGGGCAGCTCAGGCGGCTCGCTCAGGCGGCTCGGGCGGATGTGGTTGGCTTTGTCTGCGAGTGCGGGTAAGATTTGACGAAATGCGGCACGAAATGGGAGCAGGCGCAACGAGCGGCAATTCTGGTACACTTCACTTGAAGCGGGCCAGGGTCCGAGTGCAGACTATGACGGGCAGTGGCGCAGGAGCTGACCCATGCAGGCGAGTGATGGGCTGGGAAGCGAACAGTGGGAGGCTGATTCGGGGCGCTGGGCGTTGCAATGACGGCTGGCGCCGGCTGGCGGTATGGGCGTTGCTGGCGGCAGCGGTGGTGACATTGGTGGTGGAGCCGCTCGGCACGCAAGCGGCGACGGTCGATGTGCTACTGGACCCGGTTCTGGGTAGACCAAACATTCCGCAGTGCAAGCCCGAGGTGCCGCTCTCGCCGGTGCCCATCGTAGCCGTTTCGTCTGGAAGGGGCGTGATCTGCGGCCGAGTGGACAGCGACGCCGTCGACGACGTTGTCGTCGCGCGGCGTGGTAGCAGCGATGTGCAGCTGTTCCGCGGAAACGGTGTCGGCGGCTTCTCTTCTGTCACCGTTGGCACTGGTATCGCCAACATTGTCGGTGTGGCGATCGGGAAGCTCTCCAGCGACTCGCTCGTTGATGTTGCGGTAGCCACCCTCGACGAGGTTCTTTGGTTCCGCCAGACCGCAGGCCCGAGCTTTACCGCCGGCGTCAACGTCCACTCGACCTCGGAGTTTGATCTCGATGAAGTGGCAGTCGGTGACGTCGACTCGGACGGCGACGACGACATCGTGGTGACTACCCACGATTCCCGCCACCTGATGTTCTGGATGGAGAACACCGACGGCGCAGGTTCGTTTGCTTCTGCCGCCACCATCACCACCTATGGCTCGTACCTGCAATCGGTCTTGATTGTCGACATCGACGGCAACGCGATCAATGACATTCTATGGAGCGATGTCGCCGACGGCACGCTGACATGGATGAAAGACGGGACGAGCGGAGTTCCGGCCAACCTGGTCTCGCTCGGCGCCGGCTCGGTCTTTTCGTCGAGCCATGTCCGCGCCGGCGATGTCAACGGCGACGGCATGATCGACCTTGTCTTTGCCTTTTCATGGCAGTCAGCCTTTGGCTGGCTCCAAAGTTCCGATGGTGCAGGAGGGTTTTACCCGCCGCGGGCCATCGAGGCCGCCGTCGACTCTCCTGGCGACCTCACCCTCGCCGACATCGACGCCGACGGCGACCTCGACATTGCGCTCACCCACGTCGAGACCAAGGACGTGGTCTGGCATGAAAACGTCGATGGTGGTGGGCGATTTGGCCCGCGCTTGGTAGTCGGCACACTCGGCTTGGGCTTCCTTCATGTCTGCGCCGGCAACTACGCAAGTGGCCCGAGCCTCGACTTTGTCTCGCTCGACGACACTGTCTTGCAGCGGTGGCCCACTTCGAGCGCGGTCGCGCCGAGCGCCACCGTGCATGTGGCAGCAAGTGGCATGCTTGACAGCTTTGAGCATGCGCCCGCCGACATCAATGCCGATGGCTTCGTCGATGTTGTTGTTGGCACCAGTTCTGGCGCACTCTGGTTCGCCAACTTTGACGGCGCCGGCAACTTCGGCCCGGCCCAGCCAGTTTTCGACGCCCAGGCTGTCCGCTACATCAAGGCTGTGGACATGGACGGCGACGGTGACACCGATGTTGTTGCATGGGTCTCGAGCGGCCCAGTGTGGGCGGCCAACAACGGCGTTGGACGATTTGGCCCCCGCCAGCCGGTGGTCACCACCCCGTCGCCGCCATATGCCCACTTTGACGTTGTCGACGTCAACGGTGACGGAGCGCGCGACTTTGTGGCTGTGAGCCAGTCTGACACCTTGGTCTGGGCGCTCAATGCCGGAGATGGCAGTTTCCCGTTGCCTACCTCGGTACTGGGCGTCGGCGCGGATGTTGTGGTTCTACGCGATATCAACTCCGATGGCGCGCCGGATTTGGTTGTCATCGACACCATGACCGACGAGCTCACCTGGTTCGAGAACGAGTTTCCTTCGGGTAGGAGCTTTGCCGCGAGCGCTGTCATCTACGCGCCGACGGGTCTGACCGAGCAGCTTTTGGTCGACGATATCGATAGTGATGGTCGGAACGACATCCTCGTCATGGACACTAGCTCGACTGTAGTCAAGCGCATCACCCAGGGTGGCGTGCCCGGCACGTTCAACACGCCGACGGCAGTGGCTACGCTCAAGGCTGCGGGTGCCATCCAGCTCTCGCTCGGAGACATGGACGGCGATGGCCATGTCGATCTTGTTGCGATCATGTCCAACTCTGACGTCGACATGGCGCTCAACTCGGGCAGTGGCACTTTTGGTGCAGTTCTTACTCTGGCGTCGGCATCAATGACGACCTTTGCCTCGCTCGATGACGTTGACGGTGACGGCGACATTGACGTGATTACCAGCTCGGGATCGCTCGGCCAGTTTGGTTGGGTGGCACGCCTGCTTCGCGGGCCAATGCACGTCTTTGCGCCGACGCATCGTGGCCTCCGGACTCGTGACAAGGCGTGCGAGACAGGAAGCCGCGGCTCATTCGAGTGCGTGCGCGCAAGTCTCCGCACCACATCGCGCTGCACCCATGACACGGTCAACTTGCCACCGGCGCAGTACAACTGCTCGCGAGACTCGCACGCCCTTGTCTCGAATGCCATGACGATTGCAGGAAGTGCCGGAACGGTGTTTGAGTGCGGCAGCGCTGGGGTCTTGTTCCACGTCGGACCGGATGCCTCCGGGATGTCGATCGGCGAGCTTGTCCTCGCCAACATGACGGTGCGTGGTACAGGTGTGGCACGGACGTCGCTCATTGGTGGGCCGGGTGTAAGAGTTGGCGGCTCGGGTGCGCGCTTGGTCCTTGACGGCATGACGTTTGAGGGATGTTCGGCCGCGCCGCGGACCGACGAGTCGGACTTTTCTGTTGGACGCGGCGGCGCTGTCTTGGTGCTGAGCGGGGCGTCACTCGAGGCGCGCCGGTCGACGTTCAAGGCGAGCTCAGCGAGCTCGGGCGGTGCGCTTCACGTGCGTGGTGTGGGATCGTCTGCAACGCTCGAGGCGTGCACGTTTCGTGACAACGAGGCAGGCAATCTCGGCGGGAGCGTGACGGTTGCCACCGGTGCGTCGCTACTTGTGGCAGACTCGCTCATCACCAGCTCGACCGCGATCAACGGCGGCGGCGGGCTGTATGCGGCAAACGGCGCGAGCCTGACGCTCCGTGGCGCGACGACGATCGAGGACAACACTGTGGCGCTGGCTGGGCTCGGTGGCGGAGTCTTGATTGTGGCGCCCGCAACAGTCCAGCTGGACGGCACAAGCATTCGCCGCAACAGCGCCGGCGGCTCGGGTGGCGGGCTTGCGGTGGTTGCCGCGGACCTTCACGTCGAGCTTGCATCGGCCCAGACCTCAGTCGAGGTTCCTGTCGCCAGCGGTGAAGGACCGCTGAGCGGGCCTGCTCCGCCGACGATTGTGCTAGTGGATGTGCGGCTTGAGATGTCGGAGGCCAACTACCTCGGCGGCAATGCTCTGGTGTGCGGGGCGCGGGTGAGTCTTGTAGGCTCTGGGACGCTGATGAGTGGCGGCGTGAGTGGCGCGGATCGGCGGGCAAATGACGTGTTTTTGTGCGCTGGCGCAGGCGTTGCCCTCTCCCAGGTTGGGCGCAGCGACCGAGCCAAGCTGCCGTGGTTGCGTGCCGACGCTGCAGCGTTTGGCACGCTTGGGACGGCGGTGATGGCCGGGCCACTAGCGTCGATGGCGTGGGCGAGTGGGCCGAGCGGATCGCTCGAGCCGGGCTTGTCGGCGTCTGGCGCAGTGCGCGGGGTGGATTGGCTCGGCCAGCCGCTGGTTGAGCCGCGAATTGTGCTGCGGATGCGGTATGAGGCCGATCCCGCCCTGGCCACGGTCGGGTCGAGCTCGATGGCGCTCGAGTCGACGGCGGTCTCGCTGCCGGACCTGACCGTCCAGATTGTGGCAAGCGCAATTGGCGACGGCGGCGGAGCGAGCCTGATTCCGCTCACGGCGCACACCATGATTGAGGCTGGTGGCGTGAGCAGCCGTGGGCTGGCAGTGCCGGCGCTTCGCGCTACAGTCAACATCACCGGATGTCGGGCCGGATCGGGCACAGTGGCTGGGAGCGGGTCTGCGACGAGCGTTGTCGTCTGTGCCGAGTGTGGTGAGGGGACGCAGCAAAGCGCCGGGCCGCTGGCACAGTGCGTGGCGTTGTCGGCCTGTCCAGCCAACGCAGTGCGGCTCGGCGGCGACGCGATGGGCGCGTGCTCGTGCGAGCGCAACTTTTGGGTCCAGGACGGAGTCATCGGTGCGGACGGCTGCTTGCCGTGTCCTAGCGGCGGTGTGTGCACCGGTGGGAGTGCTCAGCCTGTCTCGGGACCGGGCTTCTTTCCGGACGAGACAGACCCGACGCTGTTTGTGGCATGCCCGACGGCATCGGCTTGCTTGCTCGACGGGCAGTGCGCACCGGGTTACACGGCGCGGCTGTGCGCCCAATGCGCCCCCAACTACTACCGACTCGGGTCGAGCTGCCGCAAGTGTGCAGCTGGGCGCAATGCTGCGATTGTGGCGTGTCTGGTTGTTGGACTGCTGGTGATCACGGCTGCGCTGCTGATGTTCAACCTTGCCCAGAGCCTGCGGTACAAGTTTGCCGCGGCGATGATCGGGCTCAACGCGCTGCAGATCAGCGCAATGTACGGCAAGCTCGATCTTGCGTGGGGCGGACTGGCGCAAGTGTACTTTGACGTGGCGAGCGCGGTCAACGTCGATTTTGAGCTGACCAGCCCCGAGTGCGCGGCCGCGGCCGGGACCGACACATGGGCGCTCAAGTGGGGCCTCACTCTTGCACTGCCTGTCTTTGCGGCTGCAGCTGTGGTGGCTGTAGCGCCGCTGATGCTGCTGCCTGGCAAACTGCGGCGGGCAGATAACTTGGCGCAGCTGATGGGCGGGTGCGGGCGGACGCTGTTCCAGCTGCTGGTGCTGCTGTATCTGCCACTGGCGCGGGCGGCCATGGCGCCGTTTGGGTGTCGCCGCGAGGTGGGTGGGCGGTGGGTGCTCGATGCCGATCCGGCGCGGAGCTGCTACAACAGCGCATGGTGGGTGGGGCTGTTTCCGGTGGCCATGGCGGCAGTGTTGTGCTACGCCATCGGTGTGCCTGCGGTAGTCTGGCTGGTCCTACGCCGGCAGCGGGAGGTGCTGGGAGACGAACTCACGTTTACGATCAAGTTCGGCTTTCTAGTCGGCCGATTTGTGCCGACAGCGTGGTGGTTTGAGACGGCGATCATGGCGCGCAAACTTGGAGTCGTCCTCTGCATGGCGCTGTTTTTTACTGATAAGAGCAAGGCCAACGCTGGTGTAGTTGTTCTTGTCTCTGCTCTTGGACAGCTCATCTTTCAGAGGCCGTACGGCTCGCCACTCCACAACGGACTCTCTGTGGCGGTTCTTGCGGCAACGACGCTAGTGCTGTACTCGGGCACCTTTGATGACGGCGGGCTGCGGAGCGCCGGCATTCATATCGGCATCGTCAGCAATGTTGCGCTCATCATTGGCGGCGTGATGGCCGACTTTTGGCTCATCGCGCGCCGCGAGAAGCGGGCTGAGGCCGGGTTTGACGCCGACATGGCCGGCCTTGATCCTGACCTTGCCCGCGAAGACCTGACCACCATGACCAACGACGTTCACCTCGACAACCTGATGAGCGACGTAGGAACGCCGCTTGCGTCGCAGGCCACAGTGAGCTATGTCGGATCGGGCCCGCTGGGCACCAGTCAGAGCCCGATCCTGAGCGAGCGATCGATGCTGGGTTCTGCCGAGATGATAGAGAGCGGTGGTGGCGGCGGGTTGGATAGCGTGGTGTGATGGAGAGTGAACATTGTGGATGAACACGTCTGTGCCCCGTTGCTGATGCCATGGTCGAGAGGAGTCACCTCACGCGTATACCCATGACAGCGTCACCTCACTCTGAGCCTGTTGTCAGCAAGCTACGTCGGCAGGAACCGACACTCTCACTCGCTCACACACACACACTCTCTCTCTCTCTCTCCCACTCTCTTGCAGGTGTGGTCAAAGACCTCGGCCCGGCCGAGCATCTGTGCTGGAACGCCTACAGGCGGAGTTCCTCGTCCGTGACCAAGTCAAGGCGACGGCGCGATCGAACGAGACGGTGGACACAAGGCGGATGCGAGTCGACGAAGCGGCAGTGTGGTGGGCGGCAGGGGCGGCGGGAGGGGTGGCGGTGCGGGCGGTGGCGGTGGCAGGCTTGCGTCGCTGGGCCGAGTATGGCGGGGTGGAACGCAGGTCGCGGCAGCTGGCAGTAGCGAGGCACAGCTGGATGTGGCTGGGCTCGATGGTGGTCCTGGTGCTGGCGCTCTCCAGTGCGCGTCGGCTGTGGGCTGAGGCTGCGCTGGTGCCGACGGAGAGTGTCGCCGCCGCTGTTGATGCTTCTGTATTTGGTGTGTGGGACGTAGAGTCGGCGCGGTGCGCGGACGCGCTGCGGCGGAACGAGACTAGTCGAACTGTTGATGTTGACCCGGCACTGCTGGCGGCGATGGTGTGGTTCTCGAGCGAGCTGGGCGGCATGGGGACAGACGCTTTGGTCGGCAATACGCTCGAGTGGGACTGGGGGCTGATGGTGGCGCATCATGCTGTGACACTTGTGCTGGTTGTTCTCAGTACGGCGGCGCACATGTCTGTCCATGGCGTGTTTGTTCTGCTCCTCCACGCCGCCGCCGATCCAATCCTGGACGCCACCATTGTGGTGCGGTACCTCGAGGTTGTGCCGGCGTGGTTGGTGCACCTCCTGTTTGGTGCCTTTGTCTCGGTATGGATGGTGACTCGCATGGTCATCTTCCCGGCGTTTATTGTGCTGGGTCACTTGCTCTCGTTTGGTGTCTTGTTCTGGGACGCCGATGCCTTTGATGTGTTTGCGCTCAAAGACGTAGTGAGCGAACGGTACAGTGTATCACTCGGGTGTCTGCAAGCCGGCTTTGATCACCACGTTGGATATGTTGCACTCGCTTTGCTGGCGCTGCTCCTTGGAGCCAACGTTATCTGGACGCACAACATTGTTGCGGCTGCGGTTGACGCGATGGCGGGAGCCGGTGTCGCCGATCCGCGGGCCGAGAGGCTGGCCAAGGAGCTGGCCGAGGTCAAGAGCAAGAAGGAAACATGCCGCCGACCGGCCAGGGCCAGACCGCTGGGAGCGAGTGCCACACCAGAGTGGTGACAACCGCTGCCAGCCACACGTCGACAGTATAGTGGTTGTGCGAGAGGACAAATGAGGCGCTCGCCACCAGTGCAAGCGCGCATGACGCTAGCGTTGTTGTCGGCACCAGCCGCGCGTAGTATGAGACCATGACAGCGGTGGCGACTACGACGACGATGGTGTGGCCAGAGAGGATCAGATCACCACAGTGCGGATCTGTGCCGAGCGTTCTCAGGCCGACGGCTATGTTCGACCAATGGGTGTCGTCGTCGCTCCGCCACCCGTCCCATGCGCGGCAGTGGTTGTTCGGCACCGGAATGTCGGTGACGCCCACGGCCACTCCGCGGACAACGTACACGGCGCCGACGCTGGCAAATACCCGACCGAGAATGGTAAACCCATCTGCAAATCTGTTGTAAACGACTCCGACGAACACAGGCGTGACAATGGCGGCGAGGAGAAGGACCTCGCCGATGGCTCCAGTCTGCGCATCAGGCCAGCGTGCGTGGACAACGTCGACAAGCGGCGGCCGCGCGAGGTCGACAGCCAGCTCGGCTACCGACATGCCCGTGACGTTGACAAGCGAGCCAACACAAAAGACGGCAAAGCCTGTCAGAAACGCCGGAAACGAGCCCCACGGGCGCGGGCTGGCCGCGTCGCAGCGCGGGCGAGCTTCCGGTGCCGAGGAAACGCGGACCACGCCCCACGACGCTATCGAGAGCGCAAGCGAGGCGAGGATACCTGCGCCAAGCAGCAGGACCTTAAGCACAAAGTGAAAGAGACACGCACCGATGCCGATGACCGCAAGGCGCGCCGCGAGGGCGAGGACGGTGGGCCACAGCGGTGAGCGCACAGCCCGCGGCGGATGCCCCGTCAGCATCCACACGCCCACAAGACGGATGGCGTGCTGAGCAACCATCTCAGTGGAGAGGACAATGGCAAAGCCAGCGTAGGGATGGGCAAATGGGGAGACCAGCTCGGCAGCTACGTACACGCCGTACGTCGTGGCGGTGACGGCGGTGCCGGCAAGGACGAGACCGCGGCCGCTGGCCGGGCTCAGTCCGGTGCCGCCATGCGCCGGGGCGAGAGCGTAGAAGACTCCCGTAAGCGCCGCCGGAATCACGACGTAGGCCAGCGCTGCACTAGCAATTTGCGGCGGTGATACCAAGTCGGAAGGGAGCCGGGCACGAGCATCGGCCCAGAGCCAGTTACCAACAAAGAACAGGTAGCCGCGCCAGTCCCACGGCTTGGTCCACGTCGGGCCGGGAAAGGAGATGGAGAGCGCCGGCGGATCGGCGGCAATTACCTCAGGGTGTGCACCTGCCACGCGGTAGCCGTCCCACGTCCCGTGCTCGTAAAAGTAGATGTGGTGCATGGCGTGGGCGATGGTGAGCCGCATGGCCGGGTGCTCGAAGCGCTCGCCGCCGTCAGGTCCGCCAAGGTAGACGTCAAATAGCGGGCCGGCGCGTGCGTGGGCAAAGTACCAGTTGAGAAAGCCCTGGTCGGCACCGTCGTGCGAGGCCGGCGCGTTTGGATCCGACGGTGAACGGCGCAGGGCGGCGCGCATGTCGCTAAAGACGGTAACGTCGGGCTTGATGACCATGAGCGCAGTGTGGAATCGGGTCGGATTGAGGTAGACAACGCAAAAGTGACCGCAGCGGAAGAGGGCCGACATGTCGTGGAGCGCAACCGTGTCCGAGTCGAGAAAGACGACCCGCTCGTAGTCGACCAGCGCCCAGGCGTGCAGCTTGTTGAGCGACTTGCGGAAGCGTGGCTTGGCGTGGCCAAACGGATTGCCGATGTCCGGCACCTCCCTCACCACCACTCGCCTCGGATCGGTCGCCGCAAACCGGGCTTTGACCTCGGGCCGCACGCCGTGGACCGCCAGTACCACCACATCAATGGCCGGGTCCGGGTGCTGCTCCAGCACCGTGGCTATGGTCACCTGCGTGCCAAGCACGTACGCATCGTCGGCGGGAGTGCCCTCGTAGTGGAGGACGACGAAAGCGAATCGTGCCTCCGTCACTGCAGGCGCTGCAACAAGTAGTAGCACCAGCAGAACTGCTGCTGTGGTTGCCGGCATGGGCGTGGCTTTGGCGTGGCGAGAGGTGGGGGGGTTAGAGCTGGGGAGGGGGGGGGGGGGGGGGGGTGATACAAACGGCATTTTGCAGTGTATGATGGGATCCAAGCCGTTCTCAAGCCAGTCCTGCGCATCAACAGATAGTTCACACCCTACGCCAGCTACACATACCACGAAGCGGGCGGTAGACACCCCATCAAAGCCGTAAACGACGGTCTCGTCTCGCCAAGGGCAGCCGACGAGGACGACACTGTGAACCACAAGCCATTTCAATAAAAATTATATATAATTGAACAAATTTAATGTCTTTATATTACTTGTGACTGTATTTGTATGTGATTTTTAAAGAATGTGTATGTTTTCTGGGTTTAATAGTTTTATAGTTGTAGTTTTATATAACTCTATAGTTTCAAATTGGATGACTTGTTTCTAGTAGTTTTAGATGTCCTCCTCGGATCGATCGACCTCTCCTAGCAAGCGTCCTCGCTTGAGCTCTACTACCTCCATCTCCCTCTATCACGCGCTAGCAGTCAGGATGAATGACAACATGCAACAACTGCTCTATACTTGCAATCGATTTCCTTCAAGTCCTTTTCAGCTGTGCCGGCGCGCGGGGCCTGACACGTCCTCCTCGGCCACCAGCGCGGCGACAACCGAGTCGACGAGGCGGCTCTGAGCTTGCGACGGGCTCCGCGATGAGCGAGCCGAGCGAAGGCTGCGCCGGTTGGGGCCTTCGCTCGGGCGGTAGCGGCTGGAGACCTCGACTTCGCGCCGGCGGGACCGCTCGCGGGCCAGGTCCTTGCGGAGGCGAGCAAGCGAGTCCTCCAGCGACGCAATGTACTGCACTGTCTTATCCGAGGCGAGCTCCTTGAAGACAGCCTCGCGGACGCGGGCGGCAAACTTTGTCTCGTCGCCCGCCCGCTTGTCGGCAATGTAGCTGCGAAGCTTGCGGACTTCGGCACGGAGCGCGCGGTCACCCATAGCCAGCAGGTTGGCGTGGAGATCAAGCGCGTCCGGCGCCGACGACGTCTGCCGCGGGCTCGCCATCTTGGTCTCAGCCACAACGTCGAGCGGGTGCAGTTTGGTCACAACGCCCTTGAGCGCAGTGACCAGGTTCGGCAGCCGCTGCACAAGCTCATCCGTCGAGGTCAGAGCCTTGGGGAGGAAGAACGACTCGAGCTGCGGCGCGTCGACCGGGTACGATCGCGCCAGCGCCCGCTCAACCACGTGCTGAAAGGTGGTCGCGTAGTCAAGGAAAAGGCCCATGTCACGCTTGTACGCATCTTTGGCGCTCGCCACACTCGCCTGTGACGCCGCGAGCGAGTTGGTCACCGAAGTCAGCTCCGACTGCAGTGACGCAATCTTGTCTTCGAGCGCCCGCGCCTGGCGAGATGCCGCGTCCTCCATCTCACCCACTGCAGCCTTGTACTCGCTCCGCGCCTTAACCAGCGCCTCGACATAATCAATCTTGGACGCGTCGGCCATCGATGCCGGCGGAATCGACGAGAGCTTGGCCTCCTGCGCCGCTCGCATCCGCTCCAGCGACTTGGCGTGGTTCTCCAGCAGCTTGCGGACATCGCGCGCGTGGCTCTCGTGAAGCGCCGCTGTCTCAGCCTCGTGTCGGCGGACTGACTCGTCGAGCTCGGCCTGAACGCTCCGAAGCGAGCGCTTGTACCCGGCAACCTCGACTGAGATCTCGGCCTCTTTCCGCCGCATCTCGAGCTGGACGCTCTCAAACTGGGCCTTGTGCTTCTGCAGCGTCTCATACAGCAACTTTTTCTCCGCCTGCAGCTGCGCAATGAGATCCTTGAGCGTCTCATAGCTCTGCAACGACGGCTCCGGACCCGAGAGCGAGATCCCGACCGACGCCGAGCCGCCACCACCGCCACCAGATCGACCGGACCGCGACCGGTTTGAGCGCGTCGGCTCGAGCCACGAGCCCGACGCGTCCGAATCGGACCGCGGCAGGCTATCGCCGCCACCGCGCCCACCAAGCCCATCACCGAGCCCGCCGCGCCCACCGCGCGAGCCCGGCCGAGACAAGTGCGAGATCTGCATTCGCTGGTTCAAGTTTGTCTCCTTGGCCACCGCAAGATCCTCCTTCACCTCGGCCAGCTCCTTGATGAGGTGTCGGATGGTAGCATCCTTGTCACGAATGAGCGCCTCGGTAGCTCCGAGCCCGGTGTTGTGCTGCATCGACTTGTGCATGTCGCCCAAGAGCCGGAGCGTGACCAGCGACTCTTCAAAGTTGGAGACCGAGGGAAGGACGGTACCCACCACCGCCACATGCGATTGCAGGCCGAGGTACGGCCGGAGCATGCGAGTGAGAAGCGCGCCGTCGTACGCGCCGTACGTCAGGTTCCGCTTCGAGAGCGCAGACAGAATCGACGACGTCGAGTCGAGCACCTTGTACGCTGACGCTTGCTCCGGCGCAAAGTTGGCCCGGTCCTGGGTCAGGAGCTCTGAGCCGGCCATAATAACAAAGAAGAGCGACGACGAGACGGTGACCGAGTCGCCGGTCGAGTCGCGCAGGAGCTCGCGCTCGAGCGAGAGCTGGATGACCGCGTGTGCATTGCGCCGGTCGTAAGACGTCCGCGAGAGCGGCAGCCCGCGGTTGGCCAGTGCCTCATGAACCGCAGCCTCGGCCTCGGCCATCGAGCTCAACTTAACCTTGGCGAGCTTGGGGAATGCAATGGTCGAGTCGGCAAGCTCGACCGGCGAGATCCGCCGCGGCGTCCGCAGTTCGCTGTTTGTCGCCATCGACGCCACCGAGAGCTGCTTGCGAATCGAGCGCATGGCATGGGTGCCCGACATACTCCGCCGCGCGGCCGAAAGACTCGTCGACGACTTGGCCGACGCCAGCGTCCGGCCGCCCGCAACGCTCCGATCCGAAAGCGGCTTGCGCATCTCAAAGTCGCGCGCCGGGGCCGTGCACTCACTCGCTTCGGTCGGCGGGCTGAGATCCAGGCCCGCCCCGAGTGGCTCCATGTACGGCTCGAGCAAGTCGGACACGTGCTCGCAGTGGATCTCCATTGCCGACAGCGTGAGCGTCATGGCTCGCACGTCCGAAAGCGAAGCCGAGGACAGCAGCGACCGCGAGCCCGCCCGCCGAATCCGCCCTGTCGCCGACACTCCTTCGGTATCTTCCAGTAGAAGTGACGATGCCGAGCCAGACCGTGCCAGCAGCGTCGCCCGCTGCGCCTTGAACTTGGCAATCTCGGCAAGCAGATCGCTGGCTGCCAGCTGAACGAGGCCACGCGGCGAGCCGTCGAGTCCGCCGACCAGCGCTGTTGCCCGTCCCGAGCCGGACTGGCCAAACACAAACGCCACACACGACGTCCCGCCCACCACCGCCGACGACAACGGCTTGACCAACTCGGTGTACAGCTCGCTGAGCGGCGTCCCCGCCTCGCCCACCACGTCAAACGAGAACAGCGTGTCGGGCACCTCGCCCAGCGGGTCCTTGACCGACACCGCGTTGACCGGTACCGCTGCCGCTGCTGCAGACGCTGCTGCCGCTGCCGCTGCCCGCGACGACCCGCTGTCTGCCGCAGACGCCGCCTGCCGCTGCGCTGTCGTGTGGGTCACAAACGGCGGTTGGCCGCGCTCCCGCAGGCGCTCACCCTCCGCCACCGGCGCAAACGCCACCCCAATCCGCAGCGAGTTCTCGTCCGGTGGTTTGTTTGGGTTCGGTTGCTGTGCGTGGAACATCTTGCCTCCCCTCCGCCTGTCCGCCAAGAGCACTGCAGAGCGGTGGTCGGCCTCACCCGGCGGAGGGGGCCGAGGCCGGCGGAGAGGGCCGAGGCGACGGCGGTGGGCTCGCCACCGTCCATGGCTCGGCAGCCGCCAGCCCGGTCGAATCTCGCTGTCGGCGCCGGCACCAGCAGGCACCATCAGAGAGACCATTGCCACTCCACGCTGTTTTGGTGAGCAAGCCATGGTAAGTCAAATTAGGGGAGGAGAAGGGGGGGAAGGGGGAGAGGGGGAGGAGGGGGGCGTGACGGGCATCAACGTTCTTTTCTTGCCTCCCTTCCCTGTGCCCTCTCGTCACGCACGTACTGGCCAATGGAAGGTCTACTCCTGCCCGCGACGACATACTCACGGAGGCGCCACCCGGCGGACGGACACGGACAATGGCAGGCTGCGCAAACTGGGATCTCAAGCTTTTTTTCCCCGCAGGCTGGGGCATCGGCGTCTGGTGGCGACGAAGGGGCAGTGAGCGACTCGGCCTCTGACGTAGGCGACGGGCCGGACGACGACGATCTGGCGTTTGTGGCTCCAGTTCTGGGCTCTGTCGACGGCATCTACACCGCCGAGGAGGTCGAAGCGCTGGCAGAAGCCCGCAGGGTGGCCGAGGCCTCGGGCGGCGTCTTCAAGTCGGCCGACAGGCCAGCAGCGTGGATTAAGAGCTTGCGTGCTCTGGTCAAGAAGGTAACCACAGCGCAGGCCGGGGCCGGAGGAGCCACAGCTGCCGAGACAAGCGCGCCCACTAGAGTCTCACTGTCCAAGGGAGCCGCTGCTCTGCTCGCTGATCTCATTGACGACATCATTGCCAGCTTGTATCGGGAAATGGTGCCGTTGGCCAAGATGAACAAGCGTTCTGCGTTCATTGCCGACGACGTCGTCTCGGCCATCAAGCTGCACTTCCCGGGCGAGGTGGCCAAGTATGCGGCAGCTGATGTGGCACGCACACTAAGCTCGCTCGCCGCTGGCTCAGGCGTCCCAGTCCTTCTCCATCTTTCCCACGTCAAGCAGGTCTTCGAGTCGCAGGAGCTCCTCGCCCCGATCTACAACCGTGAGACGCTGCCGGCAGTCGCCGCCGCCGTCGAGTTTGTGGTGAGTGAGGTCCTCGAGTTGGCCATCAATGCCATGCGCGACACCAAAGCTGGTCGCCTTACCGCTCGCCACGTCAAACTTGCCATCGGCAACGACATGGAGCTTGAGCGCATGTTCCACAAGGTCTGCTTGGCAGGCGGAGGCGTCATTCCAAACATTCATGGTGTTCTCTTGCCCATGCGGAGATGATCCTCGGGCATGTCCGTAAACTCTTCAACAAACCCACGATTGCCAGCGCAAGCAAAGTTTCAGGCGCTTCCTGCATCAGCAAGGACTCGCGCCACAAACGCTTCAACGATCTGCTCCTCGTGTGATGCTGTTGACCCTGATCGCTTCACCGATTTCGACGAGAGGACGACGCCGGAGCGGTAGCGGACCGACTCCCAGCGGCCACGGACCGGGTCGTACAACACAAACTGCCCGTTGCGAAGTCCAGCATTCCAGTACCCGTACGCCGCATCTTCAGACCGTGGATGGGAGAGCACGCCGGCACCGTGTGTCTGCGAGCCCTTGATCCGCCCACGGAACACGTACCCATCGTCGGCAGCCACCACGACGCCGCCGCCGCACCCAAGAGCCGAGTCTTTGGCCAGTGCACACGTCACATTGCCGCCAGCCGACACAATCGTGTTGGCAGAGAACCCTGCAAACTCGCCGGCGGGTAGGCTCTCCATCAGCGGCGCTAGCCAGAGCGGCGAGCCGAGCCGGAGCCATCCACGGTGCACCACTGCCCGCCACCCCTCGAGTCCTGCCGCGCCGTAGGCGTCGTACCGCAGCAGCGGAAGCGCCTCGGCAAAGAGACCCACAAACTGAAGATGGTGGACCTCGAGCACCGCCCGCCCGTCGCCAGTGGCCGACGTCGGGCTGTCCGCCAGCGGAATCCGGTCGGCGTACCGGTTAGGCCTTGCGCTTGTCCGCGCAAACTCGGAGGCAATCCGTGGCGGATCGAGAACAAAGGCAAAGCCTGGAATGTGACCGCCACCCTCGTCAAAAGCATGGAGAGCAACAAAGCCTTCACCGGCCGGCCCATCGACTCCAAACCCGCCCTCATACTCCAGCTCACCGCCACCGCTCGGCAGCGCCAAATGCCACGCCACCACATCACCCATGGGCGCAGAGATCAGACCACCCAGTCGCCATCCCGGACCATCCGAGCGCAGCGTGATGGAGAGAGGCGAAGCGCCACGGCCACTCGACACGCTCACACGCCCGTTAGCGACAGCCGCCGTGAGCATGATATTCAGTCTCCCGCTCGTCCACTCGCTACTGGCCTCGCACGCAAGGCTCGGCAGCGATGCCGGGAGCGCTTGCGTAAAGAACGCCGGCGGTCGCGACGACGCGGCAGGCCCGTCAGCGCCAAAGCTGAAGACTCGCCCGCGCTCCGGCGTCCAGAGTGAGCCAAGCGCGTCCAAGGCCTCATCAAGGACCGCAGCGATCGCTTGGGTGCGAAGTGTCTCGGTCTCGTTGCAGCTCATTGTCCAGTTGAGCTCCACACGGCCATAGACAAGCCGCCCGGTCTCCCACTCGCCTCGCAGCGCGACAATGAGGTGAGGAGCAACGTGAGGGAGTGCCAGCGTCACGGTCCCGCGGCCATGGGCCAGCGATCGCCCGTACCATCGTGACTCGCGCGACGTTGCCAGCGCGTTTCCAGTGTAGTTTCCTGCGTTGGGGATGGCCCAGAACGCCTCCGGCACGCGATGCGTCTCGCGTAGAACCGCCACCGCTTGTGAACACTCAAGCTGCTGCGCAAGGGCAACAGGTGGACCAGTAGTAACACCGGTGAGCGATGAGAGCATGAGCGCACCGCAGACGACAATCATGAGGCACATTGCGCTCATCACGGCGGTAGAAGCGTGCCGCTGCACTCGCTGCGAGAGTAGAAGGAGAACAGCAGAGGCTATGAGGAGCGGGACGAGGCGCGACCAGTGTGCAAGAGCCAGTGGACCGAGATGAACAACTGCAAGCGTCACATTGCGCGAAGCGGCGAGCTGCGGTGCATCCATCCGGGCAAGGAGGTCGCCGAGCGGGAGCGGGGCGTTGGCAATAACGTTGAGGTGCAGTGGCGAGGCAGGATCCGACACAAACCGGCACAGCGCCCGACCGCCACCGGCCGCAACACATGGGAACGGATACGAGAGGTGTGACATGACTGCCCCAACAATCTCTGCTGGGAGCACCGCCTGCAGCATGAACGGCCACGGCAAGACCGCGAGCGCGGCCCAGAGAGCCACCGCTAGCTGGACCGGTCGATCAAGCCGCGGGACCGCAATCAATACGCTGGGTAGAAGAAGCATGGACGATGTCGCCGCCAAGGGATGGAGCCCAGCAAGGCTTTGCGCCCATCCGTACGGCAGCGGCAGCCGCCAGGCGAGTGCCACTGCACAGAGAGGAAGCGCTACCAGCGAGGCCAGCATCGCGGCCACAACTTCGGCCAAGTAATACGTGATTGCGAGGCCAATGCTTCCGAGCACGGTGATGACCCCGAGCGCCGTGAAGATCTGAGCCTCAGAGAGTGATGTGAACCAGGCGACAATGTATGTGTCGGCGAGCCTGGTGAGCGGCGGGAGAAGGACGTCATTCCACAGCAGTGAGAGGAGCCATTTGACCAGCGACGATGCCGAGGTGGAGAGCTGGATGAGCGCAAAGGTCATGCCAGTTGCCACCAGCGATGCAACCTTGGCCTTGAGCCCAAACGAGTTTTCCAGCGATGGCTCTGCCGCTGCCGATGGTGGTGTTGCTGACCTCGGCGATGGCGGTGCAGGCGTCGGCGACGTGGGAGCAGTCGGCATCGAAGTAGCAGGGCGTGCAGCCGTAGGAACAGATGCGGAGGGGTGTATGGGTGAGTGCGACTTTCGTCCTCTTCTCCGGCCCATGACTAAGAAGCTGTCAGGAGAGGAAGAGCAGGGTGAGACGTGTGAGTGAATGTGAGTATACGTGTCCGAGTATGTGTCGCACACATGAGTGGCCACCTGCCATTGACTGATCAACGATTGGGGCGGTGGCGTGGGTGTGAATGCGCGTGAGGGCAGAGGAGGGCAAGTGCAAGGCAAGTGCAAGCACCTGACCCGTGTCAAGACATAGGTCCAAAGTTGTTCCCGAGGTAGGGTACGCATGCGTGGTGTGCATGTGTCGTGCGTATGGAGGGTGTGCGAGGTGGGTAGGGGGGGGGGGGGGCAGCAGCGAGGTGGACTTAAACGGCGAGGAGAACGTGGGTGGGGCGATGGCGGATGACAGTGGTAGCGATGGCAACGGGAGCAGGGTGTGGAGACGATGGTGGGGCGGCGAGGAGGGGAGCGGCGGCTCCAAGTCCGAGAATGGGTCGGAGGAGGGGCTCTCGTTGGAGGCGCAGCTGGAGCGAGCGAAGCAGCAGATCAAGCTATCGGCGCCGAAGCGGCATCTGTCAAACGAGCGGACGGCGCTCAAGTGGGTCTCGCGATCGCTGGAGATCGGCGCGGGCGCCACCTTTGTCCTTACCTGGCTGGGCGTCGACGGGCTCGGTCTCTCGGTTGCGCTGTGGCTCCTTGTCATTGCGCTGCTGGTCTACACAATATGGCGGTTCACTGTCCGGGCGTATGTGCTGGTCGGCGAGGATGTTGGCCCGGATCACGATCCGTTTTCTCGCATCTACGATGCGTACGGCCCGGTGGTCCTTGGCTTTGCACTCGGCGCTGCGGGTCTCATTGTCGTCGCCATCGTCACGTTTTCCGACAAGCGAGTGTAGATTGTCGCCGATCCGAGCCAAGCTGCTGGCGGCCTCGCTGAAGAGGCACAGTTGGCCAAGTAAGGCGGCGGAATGACAGTAGATGGAGAGATGATACCGAGGATCAAGACTAATGAAAGAGATCATGTTGTCCTCTTCATGCCGAGATTTGGTCGTCAGCCCAAGCGCGACACTGTCGGCTCAAAGCTAGCGAGTCCACTGTAGAGCAAGGGTACCAGTGCGAGGAGCACCCATCTCCGCGGCAGCAGCGGAAGAGAGTGCCAGACCGAAGCAGACATGGCGACCGAGGTTCCGTTCTCGGTGGCGCTGGTGGTAGGTGGTGTGTGTGTGTGTGGGGGTGGGGGGGGTGGGGGGGGAGGGGGGGGGCGGCGAGGCGGGTAGGGACGGCGGCGACGGAGCCGGTAAC